ATGCTGAGAGATTGGTTTTCATGCTGTTGAGTCTTGGGCAGCTTTTGCATAAAGTAATTGCCGCCGTCATTGTAGCCATGATGATGGTGGTGTTGCTTCTGCTGTTGATACTGGTAGTTGGACTGTTGCTGCTGCTGTTGGGGCAAATGACTGCCGCGCGTGCTGTGTTGCTGCTGCTGCTGTGTTTTGGGTTCTTCGTGCTGCTTGTGACGCTGTCGACTGCCAGAGGTCGAGTGAGCGGTCACTGGCTGATCCCAGTTGCGTGAGCGCAAGTCCAGCACGTCCTGCATCATGAATCGCACACGGCTGCTTATTTTAATATTAAACTGATGCTGTCGACTGCCGGTGCTGCCGCCACGTGARCGCTGAACTATGTCCTGTATTCGGCGAAAGATCTTCTCGATGCGAGCACCGCTCTGGTATTGCTCGGACGGGCCGGCTTCGAGCAGATGGCCAACAGTGGTCAGTAACTTACACATATACTCCAGCTTCTCCTCACAGCCATGTTCAAGCAGCGATTCGACGCAGTGCAGCACACGATCGCTGGTAAGTGATTGCAGCTTGAAAAGTTCACCTATGAAGCGCACAGTGCCCCAGGCTCGACGCCTGAACTGATATTCAAGGTCCTCCATTTCAGCCCGCAGTTCAATCTTCTTGGCCGTATCTTGGCACGCATTGATGCGCTCCTGAGTGGGCTGCAGCTTTTTGGCCTTGGCATTGGCATCATTTACGTTCGATTCGAACTCGTGTTGAATACGCGTTATTAACGAGCTGGTGAACAGAGATTTGTTCTCTGCCTTAATCTCATGGAACAGCACCTTGCAAAAGCGTGCATATGTAGGTGCGAAATTGGGCTCACTGATGGTCTTCTCGAAAATWAGCAGCATAACCTGTTAACAAGACATTTGMAMTYAGTTATTAGAGGAATATTTCAAGTGAGAATTCGTTCCTTACATTTGTCATTTTTCGTTGAGTATCCATATTGATGCTGGACATTGCTTTGAGCAGCACCTCAAA